GTTTGCAACATTGTGAGAAAATCTCTTGGTACCTTTGATTTGTGTGTTATTATGCAGGAATTAGGCACAAAACAAGTGAAGAGTAAGACACAAGAAATGGGCAAGGAAACCAAGACAACATGCAAATCACCAAAATGATGTCACGCTCGCTAGGCGAGCAGGTAGCGAACGTGCCAGCGAAGGCTTCGCTAGCTTGCTCACTAGGCGAGCAGGCTAGCGAACGCGCCCAGAATTGGATAGTTCCAAAAGTACCAAAAGTTCGCTAGGTTCGCTAGCTGTTCTCTAGGCGAACAAGACAGATCCTGAATGTGTATTTAAGTGTTTTTCTTGATTTTTTAGGTTATAATTTCATTTTGTAACATTAGAAACATCAGAACTTATCTCTCTTCATTTCTTCTAGAGAGAGAAACACAAAACCCTAAGAGGGAGGAGGTAAGATCTTCGATCTCTTGTTGGGGTTTGGATTGTAATCTTTTGATACCTTATGTATTTCATCTAATTTATGTTTGTGAACTAGTTTGGATTCTCTATTGAATGATTATCTTTGATTGCTTATTTATGGGTCTTGACAAAACCATTTCACATCTTTGATCTCAGATTTTCTTCTATCAATGAACAAACTTTTGACATGGTTTTGAAGTTGATATTCATTGTATCTTCTTTGGTGTTGTGTTGATTAAGTAGCATGGGTAGGATCAATATGATATCGTGTGGGTATGTGATAATAGTGATGAAGAATGATGTTCATAACCATTTGGCGGATTAGATGAATACATGTAAAAAGGGTTAAACGTGTGTACGTATTCTGACCATTGTATTTTATGCAAAACAACCGTTTATCCGATATGGGTGTCATCTTTGCTTACCTATTTATCTTTGATTTGAATCGTGATAGAGATATACTCTTCAGATCTGGATCTAGGATGATTTCCTGCAAGGTCCTAAATGCTAGAGATAGTTTTAGGCCTAGCATTTGCTTGAGTATCAAATCTTAATGTGTTGTGTTGTATTTTTGTTGGAAGAGAGAGATCTCCAATGAGACAACATGGTTGTTCTCTCGATGCTGCTTTAGAGATAAGCTTTGTCGTGGGTGATACATGAAGATATTAGGTGGATGATTGCGTTGTGTTTAATTTGATCAGAAGAATGCATATGTTATAAATTGATGAAATCCAATCCCAACAAGGCTCCATTTATATTTTAGTCTTTATTTTATATTTTCTGTTTTTATTTATGGTTCCTTGAACCTTTTAAACCAAAACTTTTGAATAATAAGTTTAGAAATGTCGAAATCATTGAATGACGTTCATTTCACACTAATCCCTGTGGAGACGATAAATCCCAGAGGAAATTCTTTCGAAAATAATATTTTTGCTTGCTGCTTTACCGCTTCAACATTATGTGCTTTTTGTTATAACATCTTGTGTCTGTAGTTAGACCTAGTGATGTATCTATGTCGAGGAATTAGCTTGACGACTGACAGGTGACACTAGAAGATAAAGACAGTTGGAGGTAAGTTGCTGGACAAAACAGAAAGTATACAGTGAGTCATGCAAAGATGCAAATGATATGCAATGTGATTCAAGACAGGATGCAAATCACACAGGCAACATGATCAAAGGTTCGAGTTTACAACATGGAGTCTCGGTAAAATACCAACCAAAGGGTGTGTACTAGATTTTTCTTGTACCTGCACAACAGGTTCTACAAAGTTCTCAAAGTCATCGATAAATCTTTTGGATATTATCGTCTTGCACGACTACTCATGCGGGCTAATAATATTCTCAAGATAAACTCGTCTGAGCATAGTATTGCATGACAACCATCACAGGTCTACACCTGGATAATTACTGCACTACATCCTAAAAACGCCAATACGACTACTCGTACGACATCAGTAATTCCAAAGGGGCCTCCACGTGAGTGTGGTTATATCATATGTTAATCATGTTAGGACTACTCACAACAATTAACTATTGATTATAACACAATCCTATCTTATGTGCACTCAAGTTCGGGTTAGGAATCATCTCACAATAGTATGTAATAACTTTTCCATACAGAAGAACCCAAGTAAACATATATATATATATATATATATATATATATATATATATATATATATATATATATATATATATATATATATATATATATATATATATATATATATATATATATATATATATATATATATATATATATATATATATATATATATATATATATATATATATATATATATATATATATATATACAATAACACATACAAAACAAGTTAGGAGTAACCCTTTTGAGATGAAACTCTAGTGAAGTCGTCATTTCTGTCGCGGTGAGAGTCGGCAAGCTATTAAATTAACTTGAATCACAAAATCTTAATTCACCATCGATCTTTAATTTATCCAAAGGAAGGGAAAAAGAATGAATAACCCAAAATATGCAATGCAAAAATAAAGTAAAAGAGAATCTAAGGTTCGGGGGTTGGTTATACCTAGGGAAGGTGCTAGCATCCTAAGTATCTGTAGTACTCTACAGGAACCTCTTGTTTATTGTGTTATTTGTTATCTGTTTGCTAAAAGGTGAAAAGGTAAAGGGAGACCCAAGGTGTTATTTATAAGTATGCTCGCCAAGACATCGCATCTCGTGCCTACGTATCCTGACAGGAATGGAATCAGAGCATTTGTAGTTCCCCTCAATAAGGGTGAGGAACTCTTGACTATGGTCAAGGTTCTAGGGGGGAGAGGTAAGTATCTATGGCAGAACGCCTACATAAAGTTAAGAAACTCCAAACCTAAGGCTAGGTTGAAAGGGAAGTAAGTGTTTTTATTAAGGTTTCTGAAATAGATTAGAAATATGATTAAAGTATTTTTGTATTTTTTATTAGGAAAAGGTTTTAGTTTTACGAAGGTAAACTTATAGCCTAATATTATCATGTGAGGGATAAAAAAAAACCTAAAATCTACTATGATTCAAATTATCGGGAATAAAATTGGATCATGAACCTAAGAGAAAATAGATATATGGCAAAGCATCACGAAATAAATGAACATACACGGAAGAACATCGTGTCAGATAAAACATACACAGAAAAATGTCGTATGTGAAATTGAATACATGGAAAAACATCATGCGATAAAAGTATATACATGACAAAGCATCGTGAAGTGAATTGAAATTACACGGCAAAGCATCACGGTGAAATGTTAGTGAAATTGAATTTGTGGGAAACATCAAGTGTTATTATTTACGTATGAGGATATGAGTATGAATATGGATCATCTATCATATGAAAAAAAATCTATCAATCCAATTAATAATAGAAAAATAATAAATTAATTAATTTCTAACTAATTAATATGATAAACATTCAAACAACTAATTATTAATAAAAATAAAATAATTAAAATAATTAAATCAATATAAGAAAATAAAATAGATAAATGTATGAAAGGACAAATCAAACCTAATAACCTAAATCATAAAATAATAATAGTATAATAATAATAATAATAATAATAATAATAATAATAATAATAATAATAATAATAATAATAATAATAATAATAATAATAATAATAATAATAATAATAATAATAATAATAGTAACTAAAAAATAAAAATAAAATAAAACTGACAAAGGGGCCACACCTCATTTCTAGTAAATTCATAATAATAATAAAAAATGAAAAGGTAGCAAATATATGAATATATATTAAACTTGGAACAAATGTATGTATGTATATAAGAAAAGCTGATATTTAAATTTAAAAGCATGTATATATTTATATAAAAAAAATGAAACAAGAAGTTATATATATGCATGTATATATTTATATAAAAAAAATGAAACAAGAAGTTATATATATATATATATATATATATATATATATATATATATATATATATATATATATATATATATATATATATATATATATATATATATATATATATATATATATATATATATATATATCACTACTACAAAAAAGTTTTTTAATAGCGCTTTTTTGGCTTTTTAATAGCGCTTTAAAGCGCTATTAATCAAGGCGCTATTGTAAAACAAAATTTTTAATAGCGCTTTAAAAGCGCTATTATAGTTCTGGTAATTAATAGCGCTTTTTCAAAAGCGCTATTATAGGACCTGTATTTAATAGCGCTTTTACAAAACCGCTATTATAAGTCACATATTTGATAGCGCTTTAAAAAAAAACGCTATTATAGCACCGGTAATTTGCTTTAATTTTGATAGCACTTTCAAACAAAGCGCTATTATAGTACACATATTTAATAGCGCTTTCCAATAAAGCGCTATTATAAGACACATATTTAATAGCACTTTCAAACAAAGCGCTATTATAATCCACATATTCGATAGTACTTCCAAACAAAGCGCTATTGAAATACCGGTAAATTGCTTTAATTTTGATAGCACTTTCTAACAAAGCGCTATTATAGCACGCTCTCTTCAAAACGCTATTCTAATACACTTTTTTTTTACACCAAATCATTATATATATATATATATATATATATATATATATATATATATATATATATATATATATATATATATATATATATATATATATATATATATATATATATATATATATATATATATATATATATATATATATATATATATATATATATATATATATATATATATATATATATATATATATATATATATATATATATATATATATATATATATATATATATATATATATATATATATATATATATATATGGCATTTGCATTTTACAACATTAGAATTCATAAAATAATTATAACTAAGTAGCTAAAATACTTGAAATTAAAATAATAATGACAAATGTGATACCATTAATTTGGCTTAAGAGTACTTCAAACTAAAATATTTTATAAACACAACTAAAGTATTTTGTCATGTAGTTATTAATTTGGCTAAGAGTACTTCAAACCAAATTCCAAACAAAAAGTACAATCACTTAGCTAGGCATATTCTCTAAACTAACGAAAAAAACATCTAAAAAAACAAGAAAAGGACAACAAAAACAAGGAATCGAGCACGCTACCAACTGTGGATATGATTATGATGTCTTCTTCACCACCTTGAAATCCATCAACAGAATGAACATTAACAGAAAACTTAGGATCTGAAATCATGTACTGCTTCACTTTCTCTTGGATTTCATGAACTTGTGCCTTGTATGGAGATATGATACCTATGCTAACTCTACTCTTTGTCCTTACAAACTCTGCCACAAAAGCAAAAACATTACATAATGTATAATGTACTGTATTCATTATATACTCAATTATGATAAATTTGATTAACAAACTTATTCATAGAAGAGAAAGAGAAACTAACCCCTTTTAAGTCTTCCAACAATCTCAGAGATAGCAGCAGCTTCAATCACATTCTTCAAACTATGATCAGGATTACACTGCTCTTTGCCTTTAGATATGTTGATGAAAGAGTATGAACCAAAAAGTTTTCCTTCAAGGAAACGTTTGTCATAGCTTTTTTCTCTTACAATCTCAGCATCAGAAAGTTGCTTATTATAGAACTCTTTGCATGGGAACATGCTGATGGATGGATGCATTCTATATTGGACATTAAGCATATGCTTCTTGTATCCCAACATTACTAGCCTCTCAAATAAGCTTCTTCCAAATTCAGCCCTGTCAGCAATCTGAAACAAACACAATAATCATAAGCCATAATAAAAATGTTACATGCAAAAAATCAATCTCTGTCTTATTTTTTTTTAGTACCTTGCTTTTGACCATTGCAGGAAGTTGTTTCTCGTCACCAATGAGAATACAACGCTTGAGGCCAAATAGTTGCAACGGAATAGTTGATTCACATTCTTTGAGTTGAGCAGCTTCATCAATCACTAAGAACTCCACTTGTTTCATTCCTTCACCAGGCCGTAGCGGAAATCGATATGTAATAGACAACAGGCCATTTTAACATACCACTACAATATCAAACCAAACAACATACCAAAATCAGAAAGAGAGCACACAATTGAGACAACATTATAACCATAGAAGTGGCAAATGATATTCAAATTTGAATACAACAATTTAATCACATAACAGTAGCAAGTTTAATGTGAATGAAGTAGCATCAACAAGATCATATCTATAACACAATAACCACTTCAATTTTGTAGTAAAGAAAACCGCCTTAATAATTAACATAAACTTTATCATTCTACAACCCAAACCAAAAAACATATGCGACTGAAGTTGAATTTCACGAGAACAAAGATAGTTAAACCACCAGTTTTACACAATGATCGAAATAGCTACATAAAAAACAATACAACAAACGATTTCAGGGTGTTACCGATGTGCGTAAGTTGATTCTGTTGCCGCTACGATGTCAGATGCAAAAAAATGCAGGTCCTTGCAGCAAGGGCTGAACCGTGTGATATTGTTGCTGCCACTTACGGGGGGCTGTTGTCGTTACGCTAGCAGAGGCTTTGTTGAGGATTTCATAGCAGCCAGTTCAAAGTTGTCGTGAGAATGGCGAATGAAGGTGAGTGCGTGGTTGTTGTCCGCTGCTCCAGAGTGTTGCTCGAAGCGAAACCGTTGTAGATACCAGTCGGTGTCGTCGTTGCTGTTTATACTTTACCGAAAAAAATGAGAGAGAGAAGGGCTAGGGTTGATGGCGAAAAATGTGAATCGAAGTTTTCGGATGCTAGCATGGAGGAATCGAAGTTGATTCGGCCATTTCCAGCATTTTCGGGAATATTTGAATGCTCCATGATGATGTTGCTAGCTATAAACAAAGTAGCAAGGAAGTGATTTGTCTAGTAGCAGAATACATAAGTTGATGATGTTTGCTTTGCATAACCCTTGAATATAAACTGGTCCTGGTCCTGAAGGAGCATGATCTCCGCATATCGTCTTCCACATTAAAATCTTCAATACTGTTTTTGAGACTGATTCTTATGTCCTTGCTTTTGGGTTACAAAATCTCCACGACAAAATGAGATTGCTTTTTCTCCCAGAATCACTCCACTTTGATTGCTCTTCTGTTGGACTGCGGGTGTTTCTTTCAACATGCATCCAGAAATCATCAACAGTTTGATTGGCAACTTCTATATCGGACAGCAACTGGTGACTCTGATTTTCAATACTGCCGCCACCATTATTCATATATGCATGTGAAACTGTTTCGTCACAAATAGGCCCCAGGCCACAAAGAAACATATCTGCATCTTGGTACGTATCAAACTCACAGCTTTTGTAATTTATATGAGTATTTTTATGAATTGTTAGGGAATATTTTTATGAACACATCATAGATGCTTGCCACAACACAGAAAGAAAGAGTACCGCGAAAATCCTTATCCATCCAAAAGCCTCGGTGCAGTAGAGTTTATAGATATTAAAGCTAACTTTACCGGTTTCTCGTTCTTCTTCTTTGACAAGTTTAGAACTTCCCTTAGCTGAATTAGGTTGGTCAAGAGAATTACTTTCACCATTGGTTTCTCTGCTGTTGTTAGACAAAGAACTTAGATATCATATGCTTATTTGAATTTTCACCAGGCATGGCTGCGCCTTGTTCTACAACCATTCCAAAAGCTGATGGGACACTTATACCATGTCTTTCTATATCTTCTTCAGCAAATGACCCTGAAATTAACAGAATTGACTCATTTAGCACTGATATAATTTGGCCAAAGAATTATAAAATTGTTTTGCAATATCTTAATGCTTACGCAATTTTTGGGCAATTGAAGCAGCCTCGGCAACATGGCTATCATCAGAAAAAAGAGGAGAAAGTTCCATCAGATCACCAGGGCTGCTATTGAACTCCATTAAATACTGTAGAAATTAATCAACCATAAAACTCACCACAAACAATCCATATTTCACATTGTAAACAAGCTCATTCAATAAAACTCCATCGTGCGACAACGCACCACTTTCTGTCGTATAAAAAAACAACATTCAACCATCCGAACTCATCAAACCTAACCTGTTTCCAATAACCTTATCCCAATTCTGCATAAAGAGCATAAACACAATCGTAAACGAGTTGTGCCACCAAATCCCAATTCTGTACATGGAAACAAACAACGAACTACAATTACAATTAAGGAACTTTCAGCAATTATTACATACAAAAACAGAAATATAAACCTCAAAATTGACAAGGCAGCAGTCCCTCATCAGATGCAATTGTGATACCTTAGGTTTTATGTATCTCACATTCACTTTCTCTATTATGGAATCTATTAAGTTATCATGCATTATTGATGAATAGAACAAACGCCTCTTGTCATGATAATCACCTGCATCTTTGACAACCTGAAATAAAATCAGAAGCAATAATTACAATGACATACATTTTAACATAAGTAAATAAATATCATGAAATACTCGGTACTCACTGTATCTTGAATTCTGTCAAACCTAACCTGAAGAACAACAAACCTCCCTTCGACCCACCTTACTCCGCCGCACGCCGCTATCAACATCAGAAACCCATCGAAACCGTTAAACACCGGAAACATCCCTTCGTTAACATCAAAACAGAACCGGACCTAAACCCCTCTTTTAACCCTAACTTCAACATCCGAAAATATTCAACACAGAATCCACATTCCATCTCTCACCATTAACAGAACCACACACAAAACGCCGGAAAACTCCTTCAAAACCTCCATCGGAACCCCTTCCAGAAACCTTCACCTCCGACCGTTAATCCATCCCTCACTTCAAACTGGCTTCAAACCCATTTCATCCGTAAATCCAACTTCAAAACACCCCCAAAACCAGAACCGAAAGTGGAAGAGAGATTCAAAGTGAAACAACCGAACACCCAATCATAAACCCTAACCCCTCTTTCAGTAATCCAAAACTCCATTCCTTCCGCCGTAAACCTCAAACTTCAATCGATTTCTATCATCAAAACCAATCCGTTCAGAATAATCATCATTAACAAATGTAAACCAGATTCAGAAATAGAATAAGAGGAGATGGAGAGAGTTTGAAAGAGAGAGCTAGTGAAACGAGATTGAGAGAGGGGAATCCGAGTAATGATACGAAGAAGAAGGCTCTTGGCTTCTAATTGTTTTTCTTTGCTGATTTATTTTTACTTTTTATTTCTTTATTTCTTAAGGGTTTAATAGCGCTTTTTATAAAAGCGCTATCTTAAAACACAATGATAGAAACGATAGCGGTTTATTAGAAAGCGCTATTGTAGTTACATATTTTAATAGCGATTTTTAAAAAGCGCTATCGTAGTGCTTTTAATAATAGCGCTTTTATAAAAGTGCTATTGTAATACAACATTTTAATAGCGCGTTTTAGAAAAGCGCTATCTTAGTGAATATCTATAATAGCGCTTTTTTACAAAGTGCTATCAAAATCATATTCTCTGTACTCTTTAATAGCGCTTTACTATAAAACGCTATTATAAATATGTTTGTTTCCTTTTTAATAGCGCTTATTTTAAAAGCGCTATTAAAGTAGGCGATACAAAAAAGCAATTTTGGCGTAGTGTGTGTATATATATATATATATATATATATATATATATATATATATAGATATATATATATATATATATATATAGATATATATATAAAACTAGTAAGGATATTTAGACTAAAAAATAATATGAGAAATGTGTACATAAAACAATACAGAATATGTATACAATCGTATAAAATAGAATATATATATATATATATATATATATATATATATATATATATATATATATATATATATATATATATATATATATATATATATATATATATATATATATATATATATATATATATATATATATATATATATATATATATATATAATAAAAATCAAAAAATTATAAGATATATGTACAAGAACAGGATATATCGAGTTAAATGAAAAAAGCAAAAGGCAATATATATATAATAAAATGAAATTATATTCCAGCAACAAGAAAAAAGAAAGCGAGGACGAAGGGAAAGAAACAAACAATCTCATGTCAATTAAGGTAAAAAGAAAAACACATTAACACGCTGCAACATATATACATACCAAATGCAAGAGAAAATTTGAAGTTGAAATGTTACACACATGATACTAAATATGTGTGTATATATATGTGTGTGTGTCTATATATATATATATATATATATATATATATATATATATATATATATATATATATATATATATATATATATATATATATATATATATATATATATATATATATATATATATATATATATATATATATATATATATATATATATATATATATATGTATAACAAAACAAAACTCACATCCTCTAAAGTAACAACATAATAGTAATGAGAAATAAGGAAGAAAACAGACCTCCCTCTCAAAGCCCTTCGTTCCTCTTCTTTCTCGCTTGTCCGGTGACCGCACGACTGTTGTACTGCTTCTTCGGGATCGTTAGTTTGGAGGAGAATATTGATGATGATTATGAATCCTTTTGAAAATGAGAGAGAACAAGTTATGTGCATGAGGCTTTTAAGGTGTTTGTAAGTGATGAAGGAGTATGAAATGGAGAAGGGAGTATGTTGTTAGTTGGTGAATAGAATTTTGAAGAGCAAGTTTTTTATTCACGTGAGATGAAAAATAAGGAGTGTGTATGTAATTTTTTCTGTCTTTTTCTTGTTGTCCTCTTTGCTTTTTTTCTAATGCATATAGGAATAGAAAATAGACAAGAATGATAATAACAATTAACACAATTTTTTTTGTTTTTTATAATAAGACAAGAATAAAAGAAATTAAAAATCAGATTTTTGTATTTTTTTTATGATAAGACAAGAATAAAAAGAATTAAAAACCATATTTTTGTGTTTTTTATGATAAGATAAGAATAAAAAGAATTAAAAATCAAGTTTTTATGTTTTTTATAATAAGATAAGAA